CCTCTGGGTCGCTCTGTGCACTTAAGTATGGCAGTGGTTTTCTGGGGAGGCTGCTGAGGACAAGGGGTCTCTGGGTCAACAAGCAGACCCTCAGTTTATTAAATACAGAGTCCTTGTGTAAGGACAGGGTGTTCAGAGTGATGGGGGCATCACAATGGCTCCATGGCCCTCTTCTGTGTCACCTCCCGACTTGGCCTAACTGGAAGACTGTGTATAGATCTGTTTAGAAACATGGACCTCTGTGCTCTTAGCAAAGATCCAGCCCCCTGGGGAAAGCTCTCTTGACTATCTGAGGGGCCTCCTGAGAGGAAGAAGGTCTGGAAGCCAATCTCTCCTCAAATGACCCCCACGCATAGTTGTTCTCCACACATCTCAGCATGCGGACACCCAGAGTCCTTCACTTTGGATCCTCTACTGTTTTCCATCAGACTTGAACCTCCTCAGGGGCAGGCACTGACTCCTCCATCTGACTGGCACCTTCTCAGTGACAGGAACTGTCTCCCTTACCAGACTGGGGCCTCTCGAGAAGTGGGGACCGTCTTCTCCCATTAGACAGGGTACTTGGAGAGCTGACGAGAAGCTGTCAGCCCAGGAGATTTCTGTCCCAGGTACCTCCCAGTCATCACTTTGACCCAATGAGACCCCATTTCTCAGTGTTCCAGTTGCAGGAGCCAGGCTGGGTCACAGGTCTCCATTTCTGACCATGTCTTGGGCTGTATTGCCCATCCCTGGATGGGGCCTGGATCTGTGCCTCTCAGGATAGGGGTCCTGGTTCACTCTATCTTGGGTAGAGGAGGAACCCCAGGAGTGGCAGCTGGATCTTTTCCAGGGTCTTTACAGAGTGAGGAGGGCCTGTCCTGTCCCATTAGGGGGGCTGGGGTCAACCCCTCTTGCTTTTCTCCCACGGACCACACCAAAGGGCCTGAATTAGCTCTCCAGCTCAGTCTTCAGGCTCTCCACATGCCAAACTATGTGGGAGAGCCTAGAACAGGGCCTCCTGGGAATCGACCCAAGACTGTTCCCTCTGGTTCTCTTGGGAAAAGATCCAGAAGAAAACTGAAAAGACTCCCAGCCCCAGTGCTAGGGAGGGAATGGGGAGGACCTACCTGCCCACCATAGCCAAGACAGAGGTTCTGTTCCCAGTGACCCTGGGAAAGCAGCTGGGCCTGTCTGCTCTCAGGACCCCACCAGACCCCTAGGACTGGCACAGGGGTCCTGGCGAAGAGACCAAATCCAACTCCAAGAATTAAATTGTCTCCAAATAGTTGGTCAAGAGCCAGCTGGTGAGCACAGAAGCCCATTGCTTCCCAGCTAGCAGCAGCCAGGACTCTCCCGTCTTCCACCTCTGACCACCAGGCTGTGCCCATCCCCATCTCCAGGGAGAACCAGGAAGGGGGCTGGGACAGCCAAGGGAGAGATAGAGCCCAGTGGACTCACCACATTGTCCAGAGACACCCCAGTGGGGTGACAGGTTGTGGTGTTAAGGGTTTATTGTTCATAATCACATCCCTATCCACTAACTTACTTTGCCAGATGGATGGGAAGATGTAAATTAGCCTGTTCACCAGGGGGCTCGCTAGTCTCATCAGACCACAAGATTGACTAGTTTCAACATTAAATTGAGCAGATCCAGCAGCAGAATTGAAAGATCTTCCCCAACGGTCAAGAAACAAGAGAATGCAGCACGTGCTTCAGGCCGAGTCTTGCGCCAGCTAGATCTATGCCAGCAGCAGCCATGGCTGAAGCAGAGGACCAGAGACAACACGAGGTGAAGCTGACCTTGAGATTCCCACCCTCCCAAGTCAAAAGGAATCCTGCCAATTAAAGATCTTCTCCACTTATCAGGATGTTGCTTTTTGGTCCAGTTTTGAGGAAATTTTCCCCCATGTTTAAGTGCAGTCCATACTGAAGGCTTTGATCTTCTTCAGAGCTTTAAGTCCCCTTCCTTTTCCGTATGCAAGGCTGTTTCATCTACACAGCACTAATGTTATAACTAATGTGTTATAACTAATCTTGCTCCAATCCTGACCTTTTCATAGAATTCAACTCAAATTAATTGCTTAGCACACAGATTGAGGAAGGATGGTGAAAGGATGCAACCTTTCCTGATTTTTCACCACGCAGTATTCTATTGCTATTTGACCAATTGTCTATTCACCTATGTACAAATGCTAAATGAGTACAACTAAGTACCCTGGATTTCCCATTTTTTGCAATGGTAGCCATAATCTGCTATGATCTGCACAGCTGAATGCCTTTTCAAAGTCAGTAAAACATAGGTAAGTATCTTCCTGGTATGCTTTCCTTTCAGGCCAGACCCATTTGACACTAGCAGTGATATCCCTTGTTCCATGTCTCCTTTGCACCTCGTTTAATTTTTGACAGTTACTTGTGGAAATACTGTTGTGAACATTTTAAAATTATCTTCAGTAAGATTTTACTTCTTTGTGTTGGACAATTTCTGCATTCTGTTGGATCACCTCTGGAATGGACACAAATGTGGGATCTCTCCCAGTGGGTTAACTAGGTGTCTTCTAAATGTTTTGGCACAGGAGTGGGCCCTTCCAGCGTTGCATTTGCGTGGTGGACCATTTCGATCAGTATACCATCATTTCCTGGAGCCTTAGCGCTTCCTAATGATGCTTCCAGTGACCTTTGGACTTCTTCCTTCCACGGTTCTTGATCATATGCTGTACCTCTTGAAATGGTTGAACATCCATCAGTTCTTTTTAGCAGTGACCTTTGATATTCCTTCTTCATTGCTCCCGAGTCTGCTCAGACTCACAGTTGACCCTCCAGTGGGTTTCTCAGGTTGTGTTTTGCAAGGGAGGAAATTGCCCATCTCTCTCCTATGGAGCTGGCGATGGATTCAAATCAACAGAAAGCAGGGGCCACACTAAATTTTTTTCAAGAACAGATCAAAAGCCCTTTCTCCCAAGGAGCTGCTGGGTGAGTTTGAACTGCCAGCCTTTAAGTTACTAGTGATACTAGACATTACCAAAACCCTATGGACCTGACTCCCTACGAACCATGTCACCAGAGCTCCCAAGGTGTCCAGTAAGTAGTGGATATATTAATTTTGACAGTTTGGACTGGACACTTGCTGCATATCAACCAGAATGATGATTACTCAAACTCTGAATTGACTCACCTTCGTCCAATGTAACCTGGGAGGGTTCAGATTAAATGAATTTTGTGTGTAAGTCAAAGACTTCATGCAACCCTCAGGAAGGTTCTTGGTTGAATTAGTCAAGTAAACACAAGCGGCTTGTGACCTTCATCTCCCAGGAACCATCACTTGCCCCTCCTACCTTGCCTTGTCACCAACCTTCAGCTGTGGTGTGAACAGAGGCTCCTTAGATGACAATGCATTGCCCACCTCAGTCCCCACTCACAAGGTTGAGTTTGGTAAGCTTGATGCAGTAGGGGAGAACTCATACCCGATGAACCATGGGAGATCTCCGCACATGTGTAGTGGCTGTGATCTTTTCCAATGATCGAGCCCAAGTCAGTATCTTTCACCACTCCAGACCACCCCTTCTTTTCTATTTTAAGTCTATCCCTTCCGATAAAGTCTGACTGTGAGTTCTGGTACATCGTTTTAGCATTGGCTTTATTTTTATGGTCATTGTTTCTAGTCTTTCAATAGATTGGTCAAGCAGAATGTAGGCACCTTGCTGACCTGGCAACCATCAAGAATTTTGGCTTCTCAGTAGTATTTCTTCCTCAGCAACTAGATACTTGTGCTACCAACTTGAAGGCAAGCAGTTTGAATGCACTAGCTGCTTCAAGGGAGAAATATGGGCAATCTCCTGTGTGTTTTATAGCCTCTGAAAATACACCTAGAGGTCAGTTATGAGTTAGTTCTGACTTGATGTCAATGAGTGAGAAGGATGGGCATTCTCCTCCCGTGCGATTTACTGCCTCTGAAAACCTGCTATGGTCAGTTATGACTCAACGGTACACAACAACAACAAGCAATTGTTACATGCCACTAAGTCTAGGTCAACTCACAGGGATCCCACATGGCAGGGCAGAACTGCCTCATAAGGCTTTCTACACTAATGTGTGTGTGTGTGTGTGTGTGTGTGTGTGTACTGTTAAATAGGATCTGACTGGCACAGGAGAAGATTATCCCTCTTCCTCCATCAGAGAATCTGGTGGATTCGAACCGCTCACTTCCGGGATTGTGTGTGTGTGTGTGTGTGTGTGTGTGTGTGTGTGTGTGTGTTTGTACTGTTAAATCAGATCTGACTGGCACAGGAGGAGATTGTCCCTCTTTTTCCATCAGAGAATCTGGTGGATTCGAACCGCTCACTTCCGAGATTGTAGTACAGCTTCTTGCCACTAGGCTACTGGAGCTCGCCAGCTTTCTACACTACATTTTTTTCAAGAACAGATCAAAAGGCCTTTCTCCCAAGGAGCTGCTGGGTGAGTTTGAATTGCCAGCTTTTAAGTTACTGTGATACTAGACATTACCAAAACTCACCTCTGAGTTGATCGCTACTCGCAGGGACTTTTCTTTTCACTGGGTTTCTGAGTCTATACATCTTGATGGGAAGAGATTGACCAGCTCTCTCCTGGGAAGCAGCTAGGAGACTGGTAACGATGCCTTTCTGGTTAGCACTCTGCCACCTGAGCTCCTTCATCGGGTAAACAGTAAAGGCTGGTTCTGTTCTGCTGAGTTGGTCTGATGGTCAGTGGGACTCTGGTAGGGCTGACGAGTTCATGACGGTCATACTAGGGAGATAAGATGGGGATAAAATGGTCCATCGCCATGACCCATCCCCACGAGGGGCCTGGAGAGCCAGCCAGGAGCCGGGGTGCTCCCTCTGTGCCAGGTCCTGGCTCTCCCCTAACCTCTATCCCATTTCGCTCTCTCTCTGCTTCTAACGACCAGAACACTAAGGACTCATTCTCTCTCCAAACATGGGGCTCTCTGCTTGGAAGCGGTACCCTCATGGCTCCCACCCGGCTCGGGAGTTTGAAGAAAGAATTTGCAAAAGCCATTGCTCTTTATTTTTCATTCCTGCCGTTGAACCAGACTGTGCAAGCTGAGGATGAGTGGATTGTGGAGGTGAAAGAGGGGCCTCCAGGGACAGCCCTTCCTGCAAAAGTCTATACACACTGCTGAGGCTGATTAGACTTGAGAAGCAATTGAACAGTAAACTCTACTGGATTAGAAATGTACAAAAGTGTCCAGGCAGCTGGTTTCTTGCCTCCCATGAGGCCTGTGTAAAGGTCCTGGGGCTGGTCTGGGGAACATCCGGATGCTCCCTCTGGGCAGGCGCAGTCCTGGTCACCCAGTAGAAGTGTGCCAAGGGACAGGACAGTGGGTGGATGCCCACGCCGGGGTCCTTCAGCTGCCGCGGCTCCTCCAGTGCATCTCTGTGTCTTGCATCTATGTTCGCCCTTTAAAAGTGTTCATGCAGGTGTAAGTTCCTGAGAATCTGTGGATTTCCTCGAGGGCAGCCTGGGGGAGTATGCTGCGGAGTGGAAGGGAGGAAGGGAGATGGTCAGTAGGAGAGACAAGCGATCAGGGCCCGGGTGGCCACAGGAGACGAGGTAATGGAGCATGGAAGTCCCTGAGTGCTCCCCACACCCATCTCCTAGTCACACACCAGCTTTGCCCACAAGCCACCCCCAACCACTGTGGGGCGGAAGGGCTTTCAGGTAAGCTGCTTACCAGGTCAAGGGTGGTAGGAACAAACCCCCAAAGCCGCATTCTTAGCATTTTAGGGTCCCAAACAATGTCCATAATAAATCAACTCCAACTTCACTTACTCAACAAAAATTAAGTTATTAACAAAATAACAAAAATTAAGTATGTGGTATGTCAGCACAATTGGGGTCATCTCTTTCAGGAAATTTCCCCAGACATACTCCCCAAACTCCTCAGACTTCTGTTCTGCGTTCCCCACAACTGGTGTGTCGGAGTTCGTGAGACCAGCTCAGGACAGGGAAGGGTTCAGAGCTGCGGTACATAGGGTTACTATACATTGCAAGCGACTCAATGGCATATAAAAACAATAACATACTACAACAGGTTTGGAAGCAGGAGTGGCATCCACTTCCTAAATAACATGCCTCCGGAAACCCTATGAACTTTGATAAATGTCGACAGTTGTAGAGGGGCTCAGGCCTTTTGTTCATAGGGTCGCTATGAGTCACTCTTGACTCGAAGGCAAGCAACAACAAACACCCAGACTTCTGTTCTGTGTTCCCCACAGCTTCTGTACACCCCATCATGCCTGGTGTTGTCTTTGCCTATTTACCTGCCAGGTTGCCTATAGTACAGATATTTCAGCTCTGACCCTGAGCCTGGCGCTAGTATGTTTGACAGAAGAAACTGAAACCTATTCTCAGTGCCCTGGGAAAAACTCACTTTCAGTGGAATAATCTGGAAGTCCCCTGGGCAGGCTGACACTAGAGCTGAGCCTCTAAGAATTAGAGTAGGTGAGGAGGGAACACAGGGCTGAAAATGATAGGGTGTGGTCTCTGCTTCCTTTGGGAAAGTAGTGGAGACAGAAAATAGAGGTTGTGGTCTTATTGTGATGAATACTGAATGTTCTAGGTAAACTAGTGTTTTTATAGAATGTTCTGGGAAGAAAGTTAGACTGTCCTGGAAAGCTTCTAAAAAGCTTTCCTGACACGGAAGGTGAGAGTTGGGCTTCATGGGGGCATGTTCACCTCCCTGAGGGGGCAGCCGAGAAGAGCCTCAGAGCCACAGAACAGACTGAAGGTGGCTGGGAATGTGCAAACGCCCTGGGTACTCCCTCCCGGCTCTGCTGTGTGTCCAAGAAAGAGCTTTGAGTCTGGAGATGAAAGAACTGACTGAAGCCGTCTCCTCAGCGACCACGTTTCCTGTGCCTGCTGATGGCTAAAAAGGCTCCTGACTTTGTTCACCGCAGCCAGAGGGTATTGGCTTCCTGGTTGTTAACATCTGATAAAATCAGGAGCCAGCTCAGCACTCTGGTACTTCACTTCCTGACAAGGCCTTCCAGGTCAAAGGATTCCATCAGCCAGGAGCCAGGGTCTGTATATGGATGAAGGTTAAGAGGAGCCAAGAACCCAGGGTCACTCAGTGGCTCTTGGACAAAGCTTTCAAAGTGTAAATGGTTAATTTGCTTGGCTGCCAACCGCAAGTTGAGTCCACCCACAGACACCCAGAGAATAAAGGCCTGGTGACCTACTTCTGAAAAGTCACAGCCAGAGAAAACCCACGGAGTACAGTTCTACTCTGACACACGTAGGGCCGCCCTGACTGGGAGTGAACTCAATGACAAGTGTTCTTATATTTAAAAAATTCATGAAATGATGCTTACAAACACCTGTATGATCCCAGCAGTGTGGGGCTGGGATGAAAAGGGTTTGCTGCCCATCTTTTACAAAGTTTGAGAGATATGTGATGCTGGAAGAAGACCATCTCTGTAAAGCCAGCCTCTGAGGAAGTATGCCTGGAGGGCCCCACTTGGTCACATTTGAGCGAATCCTATCACAATGTTTCTGTGAATCCTGTCTTAATGCATCTCAAAGTGGTCTGGGAACCCTTTGGAGGTACCTGATGCTTTTCACAGATCTGTGATATCAAAATTGTCTTTATATACTGTTGTTGTTACCGTTGAGTTGCCTGCACCCATAGTGACCCTGTATACAGCAGTTCTGAAGCCTGCCCTGTCCTGAGCCAGTCTCACTGATTCTGACACATCAACTCCCATTGCCCTACTTTCCATAGTGATCCATCTTATCCAGGGTCTTCCTCTCCAGAGCTGTCCTTTCACCCTTCTAAGTATGATATCCTTCTTCAAGGATTGGTCGTTCCTGGCCACATGTCCAAAGCATGTGAGATGGAGCTTCAAAATCCTAGCTTCCAAGGAGAAACTTGGTTTCACCCTCTCTAAGACAGACCCATCTATTCTCTTGGTGGTCCATGGTATGTTCAAGACTCTTTTCCAGCATCACAGCTCAAAGGCATTGATTCTTCTTCTGTCATCCCAGTCATTGTCCAGCTTTCTGATGACTATCAAGTAATTGCAAAGACCATGACCTTGATTAGGTTCACCTTAGTCTCTAGACATCATTGCTTTTCAGCACTCTGGAGAGGTCTCTGACAGCAGATTTTCCCAATGCAATTCATCTTTTGATTTCCGGACTGCTGGTGCCAAGAGAGTTGATTGTGGAGCCTTTATAGACAACTAAATAATTTTTCTCCTTTCCCCCTCTCATGCTCTCAATCGTGTGCAGTGGGGTTTCCTAGAGGGTACATGATACATAACACCACAATGGGCTAAAATCCAATGGAGATACAGAATCAGTGGTCTTCATGAAGCCAGGCAACAAAGATATTTTAAAAAATGTAAAACACTCTTCTCACTACATTTATTTTCTTTTGGAAAATATCCTTATCTTTCATTCCAGAACTACCAAATGCCTGTTAAATCCACACAGGGCTGGTTTGTCATGCTGTGGGTGACTTTTGTGTTACCATGATGTTAGAAACTATACTGGTATTTCAAGTACCAGCTACATCACCCATGGTGGAAAGGTTTCGGTGAAGCTACCAGACTAAGAGGGACTAGGAAGAAGAGTTTGGGGATCCACTTCTGAAAATACTGGCCAGTGAAGGCTTTATGAAGAGTGGCAGAACACAGTCTGACATAGTACTAGAGGATAAGCCACCCAGGTTGGAAGGTACTGAAAACACCTCTGGGGAAGAGATGCTTCCTGAGGTAGAGTCCACCTTAATGATACGGCTCAAGGAAAGCTTTCAGGACCTGGCTGTGGGACACAATTCAAGAAGAAACAGCTGCAAACATCCTTTACTAATGTTGTTATGTACAACTGAATCAGAACTGACTCATAGCTGACCTTTCTGTAGGTTTTCAGAGGCTGTAAATCACACAGAAAGAGACTGTCCCTCAGGGCCACTGATAGACTTGACCCATCTGCCTTCTGATTGGCTGCACAACTCCTTACTCACTCACGAGGTCACCAGAGCTCCCTCCATTAAAAGTCGGAATGTATGAAAATGAATCTAGTTGTCAAGAATGTGACGGAAAGCATAACGATTGATAGCCGAGGCATACGTGAGTTGAAGTGGGCTGGTATTGGTCATTTGGTCTTTTATGCTGGGAATATTAAACTGAAGAGGAATGGCATGGCATCCATTGTCAAAAAAGAACATTTCAAGATCTATCCTCAGACAAAATGCTGTTGGGGATAATATCTATAAGGTTACAAGGAAGACCCAATGAATATGACCTATTCAAATTTACTCACCAACCACTAATGTCAAATATGAAGGAGTTGAAGATTTTTACCAACTCAGACCGTCTGATAATGTTCTGCTGCTTTTCTTAGGGTTTTCAAGGATCTATTATTTAAGAAGGGTGCTCGGGAGTTTCCTCATCTATCAGAAGTTGCATTGTTAATCCAAAAGTGGTGCCTTTCTAGGGTTCGAATCTACCAATGGCTCCATGAAAGAAAGCTACCTACCTGGCCAATTGACCGGAAGAGATTCATATTTTTGTCCATTCCACAGAGAGATAATCCAACAGAATGTAGACTTTACCAAACAGCACCACTATTATCACATGCCAGGAAACCTTTTTGCCCCAAATAAGTAAGAAATAGTTGCAGTAGCACATGGACAGGAAACTGCCAGCAATTCAGGATGGATTCAGAAATGGCCATGGAATGAGGGTGTGGCTACTGATGCCAGATGAAGCTTGACTGAAAGCAGAGAATAGCAGAAAGATGCTTCTCTTTGTTTTATTAACTACACAAAGGCAATTTATTGTACAGATCCTAACAAATTATGGTCAACATTCCAAAGACTAGGAATTCCAGAATGCTTAATTGTGCTCACAGGCTGTTATTGGGTCAGAACAAGAGGATACTTTCTGTATGGTTTCAAACCAGGAGAGACGTGTGTCAGGATTGTATTCTTTTAAGACACTTATTAAATATATGTATGCTGAGCACATAATCTAAGACGCTGGCTTTTATTAGGAAGACCACTGCATCAGGATTAGATGGAGGCTTGGTAACAACCTGCAGTGTACAGATGACATACCCTTGCTTGCTGAAAGCAAAGAAGCATTTACTGATGCACATCCAAGACTACTGACTTCACTATGGAATATACTCAACATAAAGATGACAGAAGTCCCCGCAAGTGGACCAATAAGCAACATCATCATAAATGGACATGAAGTTGTTGAAGATTTCATTTCACTTGGATCCACAATCAATGTCCAGGAAATCAAACAACATATTGCACTGAGCAAATCTACTGTCTAAAAAAAGACATCTTTAAAATGTTGAAAGGCTAATATGTCACTATGAGAACTAAAACGTTCTTGATCCAAGCCATAGCATTTTCAGTCCCTTTATATGCATGGAAACGTGGACGACGAATAAAGAAGACTGTAGAAAAATAAAGGTATCTGAATTATGGTGTTGGTGAAGAATGTTGAATGTACCATGATTGCTAGAAGAATGAAACCTGCTTTGAGAGAAGGACAGTCAGAGTGTTCCTTAGAAGTGAAGATGCCAACACTTTGTTTCATATGTTGGACATGCCATGCCAGGAAGGACCAGTCCCTAGAACATCCTGCTCAGAAAAGGAGAAGGTCAGAGAAAAAGAAGACAACCTTCAGTGAGATGGTTTAACACAGTGGCTGCATCAGTGAACTCAACGTGGCAGTGAAATGACTGTGATGGTGGTGCAGGATCAGGGAGGGCTTCATTCTGTTGGTGAGAGTCAGAACCGATTTGACAGCACCTAGCAACAACAACTTGCTATGCATCTGAGAGCTGGACAGTGAAGGAGGATGACAGATGAAGAACTGAGGCCTTTGTGGTGTTAGAAAAGAATACTGAACATCCCATGCACGGCCAAAAGAACAAACAAGTATGTCTTGGAGAGGGTGAAGCTGGAGTGCTCTTTGAAGGCAAGAACGATGGGGCTTTGCCTCACATACTTTGATTGTGATCAAAGGGGCATGTTGATAGGAGGAGCTATTCTTTGGAGAAGAACATGATGCTGGAAAGGGTGGAGGGTTGGCAAAGAAGAGAAAGACCCTAGCCTAGATCAAGTGGATTGACATGGTGACTGTTACAATGGGCTCTACAGGTGTCAAGAAGTGTGAGGAAGGCACAAGATAGGACCGAATTCAGATCTGATATTGATAGGGTCACTATGAGTCGTACTAAACTTAATATCACCTAACAACAACAACTAAACTTCAGAGACACTGATCCCAACATAAGGAACTACCATCAGCTGATGTGTTTGAAATGACAGAAGCCATGGAAGCTTCATATATAAGTTATTAGATGGAGGGCTGGTGAAAGGGAGATAGATGTGAAGGGAGGGGGTAGAAGTGGATGGATATCCTGTGGGATGGTGAAGCAGGAAATAAGTGCGTAAAGGTGCATGTGAGAAAGGCAGGGACAACACTGACACACTAAAGTTAACTTCGCAATAAGGGATATACCTTTAACTTGCTGGTCTGTCTAATACTTCTCTTAATCTGAACGTTCACATTGAGACAGACTAGGAAGAAGGATTGGCCATCCACTTCTGAAACAGCAGGCCTCTGAAAACCCTATGTACAACTGCAGAGGGTCAAGGACTGCAGCCTACAATATGGATTGAGGCTCAATGTCAAGAAGACAAAGATTCTCACCACTGGACCAATTGGCAGCATCAGGATGGATGGTGAAGAGATTGAGATTGTACACAGCTTTAGTTTGCTTGGCTCCATAGTCAACAGTCTTGGCACCAGCAGCCAGGAAATTAAAAGGCGCATTGCCATGGGAAAGTCTGCTGTTAGGGACCTCTCCAAAGTGCTGAAGAGCAGTGGTGTCTCTCTGGAGACTAAGGTGCGTCTGATACAGGTTATGGTCTTCGCAATCACCTGTTATGCATCAGAGAGTTGGACAATGACCAAGGAGGATAGAAGGAGAACTGATGCCTTTGAGCTGTGGTGCTGGAGAAGAGTACTGAGAATACCATGGACTGCTAGGAAAACAAACAGATTTGTCCTGGAGAGGGTTAAACCGGGTGGCTCCTTGGAGGCAAGGATTCTGAGGCTCCGTCTAACTTACTTTGGACATGTAGTGAGGAGAGACCGGTCCTTAGAGAGGGACATCATGCTTGGGAGGGTGGAGGGACGGCGCAGGAGAGGAAGGCCCTCTATGAGGTGGATTGATTCAGTGACTGGGATAATTGGGATGGGAGTGTCAGAGACAGTGCGATTGGCACAGGACAGAGCGGAGTTTAGGGCTGTTGTACATAGGGTCGCTATGAGTTGCAGGCGACTCGACGGCACATAACAACAACAACAACAACAACAACAACATATTAACATGTAACAAGCTTGCTGTACATAAACGTTTCTTAACATAAATAAATATCTAGATAATTACAAAATTTTCATCAGCTTTAATTTTTAACACAGTAATTGGTGATAGATTAAGAATCACATAAGCAAAGACACTTAGTGCTTCTCAATAATGTTTTAAGACTGTATAAAGCTTGAGAACTGCTGCCCTAGAGTAAGGAGAGTGAATCCATGGCAGACATGCCTCCACCCTTTGTTCTCATGCCCATAGCAGACATGACTAATCAACCACATGCATACTTTCACTCCATTTGTTCTCACTTGTCCCCCAAGTGAAATGATCTCCACGAACTGGTCCCAGCACTTTCTCACCAACCTCACACCTACCTTTTCAAGATTATGAGGGCATGCATTGTCCAGGGGAGCAGGAGGAGGGCCTGGTTGAGCTGCACAGCTTCCACCGTCCTCCGGGCCACCGTCTCTGGCTTTAGGGGTGGGAAGAGGTTGGGAAACCTAAAACAGGAAGAGACACGGAGGTTTTTGCTAGAGAAGACAGCTCTTCACCTGGAAGCCTCATTTTGCTCCCCGGCCTGGGTCATCCTGTGGCTTCTGTTTGGAATATATCCCACATCCCCAACCTTGTCAGCAGCCCTGTTCTCTCCTTTTCACCCAGCAGACCTCAGCACCCATCAGTGGAGGCTCTTAGCCTCATTAGGGATCATTTCTAGACAATCAAAAGACTTCCCGCCCACCCTGGGTCCATTCCCAGAAATACCTATGAGGGCTCATCTCAATTCGACTGTGACGCTGTCCTGATCCCTCAGAGCTCCCAACACCTAGGATTAAACCCAGACTCCACCCCTGCAATCTGGCCCCTGCCTATTCTTGTAACTCTCCCCCTATTCTACTCCCCCTGCTCCAGCCATACTAGCCAATCCTTCTGCTCGTCACCTTAAGCTTATTCTGCTTCTACTGGCTGTCCCCTCTGCTTGGATCATTCCTCCCAGCTCTTCCTCAAAGAGGTGTCTCAGCTCTGTCCACCCAAAGTGGCCTCTGCTCACTCCTTGACTATATTAACATCTAGAAGGGCTGTGTCTGTTTGTGTCCTTGTTAATGATTATCTTCTGCCCCCAGACTATGCGACTTTCATGGGGACAGGAGGACACCTGGTTTCTTCCCCCTTATGTTATATCCCTATCATCTAGCATCATGTCCAACACATAATAGGTGCTCAAGAAACACTTGCTAAATGGGGAACACTGAACAACTTCTAATTCCCTCAGTGTGTCTTGCTTATCTTCCTGGATGGCAGGGCTCAACATGGAACACCCTTTTCTGCTTGGCTTGCTTATTCATTCATTCATTAATCATTCATTCATTACAAAGTGTTTTTCACAGACTTGGCAAATGAGTGAATATCTGAACAAGAAAACATCAAAGGATTCTCAGTCCCTGTTCAGAGGCATCTGTCCTGTAACCTGTACAGGGGGAAGCTGGAGGCCCCTCACGTAGCCTCAGCCCCCTAACTGTCAGAACTTGGCTAAGTGCTCAACATTATCCTCTCCAATTTACAGATGAGAAGCCTGAGGCTTGGTTAAGTCGATAGGACATCAGGTGCTCAAATCAGACCAGCACAGAGTCCCAGGCCAGTGTTCTGCTGCCCACTGCCCTCACTGGCAATTGTGGCCAACCCTCCTGACCCTGGGTGCAGGCTGGTGCTCTGTCCCCAGTCCCCCATAGGGCTTGTGGTCTGTTCCAGCACCAGGAAGACTAAAGGTGATGAGTCACCAGGTCTGAAGTTACTTCTGAGCCATGAGCTGCTCTCAGGTCCCTAGCATGGGCTTGGCCTCTGAGAGCCCACCGATCCCTGACAAGATCCCACCCTGCCCCTGCTTCCTGAGCCTTCATGATGGGGCTTCCCAGGGCCCACATCCTGCAATCAGGAAGGGCTCGCTGCCTGGGTGCCGCCGAGATGAACGTACAGATGCAGCTCACTGATTCTGGAATCCTACAGATACGCTGACAGTCTGGATTCTCCACTAGGTCTGCTCTTGGGTGAAGGGAAGACCAAGCTGCATAGGATTGGGGGGTGGTGCCTTTTGCTAAGATTCTAACAGGAGACTCTAATAGCACAGTTCTAATTGGGTCGCTTTTTTTTTCTGAGATAGGTGGATGGATGGCAGCACAAATGAATGGAAAAAAGAATGGGTTCTATTTCCTGCTCAGTCACCTTTTGGTCATGTGGCCTTGGGCAAATAACACCGCTATCTAGGAGCCTCAGTATCCTCATCTATAAAATGGAGATAGTAGCTTTCTCAAGGGTTTGCAGGAAGAAGTAGACATCACAGCATTTGTAAAGTGCCTGGTGACGGGAACTTAGAAGGAGCTCAATCATTCACTTGTTCACTCTTTTCTGTTGAGTTGCAGCCTCCTCACAGTCAACCCTCCAGCAGGTTGGAGGCTATAAATTGCATGGGAGGAGGTTGCCTACCTTTCTTCTGCAGAGCCACTGGTGGATTCGAACCAGAGAAGCGCTGGCTGCCTCTGGATCAGCAGTGCAACTCTCCATGGCCACCAGAGCTCCCTTAATCAACCATTTCAAAGCAGCTGTACCCACCAGCAGGACCACTCTTGTTGGGAAAGCCATGGATTTGTCCTGCACATCTGTCTTCCACCCTTGACCACAGGAAGCTGCTAAGGATGAGTGGGGAGGAAATACTTTCACTCCTTCCAGCCCCAGGGAATGAGATTTAGTGAAGCCCTCACTGTGTATTTACTACTCTCTCTGTGGGGCCCTTGAAGGTCACTGCGTATAGTCCCAGGTTAACGAAGTCACTGGACATGTGCGCTGTTCTCCGAGCACATGCTAGTCAATTCACAACGGCTACTCACCTACCCAGCCCAACCACTCTATGGACTACGAGACACTATTTTAATTTGCTTTTTTTATGCATGGGGAAACTGAGGCCCCAAAAAGTTAAATGATTTGCTCATGGTATTGAGGAAAAAAGATTAGTCTGGGAACCTTGTGCACGTAGGGGAGAGAAAACGGTGCTAAAATATGCAATGGAAGTCCGAGTGGGAAGTCCTAACTGTGACAGTGCTTGCTGCTGTTGTTACGTGCCTCAGAGTTAGAATCAATCATAACTGACCTTCCAGTGAGTTTTCAGAGGCTGCGAATCACACAGGAGGAGGCTGTCCATCCTTCTCCGCTGGAGCAGCTGGTTGATTTGAACCGCCTGCCTTTTGATTGGCAGTGCAATTCCTTACTACTAAGCCACTTTAGCTGCATGTCTGTGCTTTGTTGCTATTGCTGTGTACTGTCGAGTTAAAACTGACTCACAGCTGACTCTTTAGAGGCAGTAAACTGTATAACAGTTGATTGCCTATCCTTCTCCCACTGAGCTGCTGGTGAATTTCAACTTGGGTTTATAGCACAATTCCTGGCCACTAGGCCACCAGAGCTCCCTGTCTTTGAGCACCCAAATAAAACCAGGGCTTGCTGCAGATGCATGTCCATCTAATAGGTCTTTATTGAGTACCATCTGGATGGCTGGATGAAAACAAACCTATCAAGCTGCCTGTCAGGAAAATGCCAACACGGAACATTGATAGTCCTTATTCAATCTCCCCCCTAAATTCATCATTTATCTTCACTTTCACATAAATTTGTTAGAATATGTCCCTCTGCTGATAAACTCTGCAGATCCCTCCTGCTCAGAAAATGAGTAACATAAGCTCTTAGGAAGGTGTTTGGCGCTAGTGAGAATAACAAGAGCAATGGTTGTTTACTGCGCATCTAGAATGTCCTGCTGTGTGCACTGCTTACATTAATCACTTCCGATTCTCCCAGGAATCCTATGTCTTAAACATTATTTCGACCATTTTAGTAGGTGAGCAAAGTAAAGCTTCAAGGTAACAAAACCAGTCCAAGGTTTCACAACTGAAGAAGAAGTGAGGTATGACTCAAAACCAGGTATTTCTGATTTTCAACCACCAAAACCACACCGCTCCTCTTAATAAGAAGAGAGGTGTATGGTGTGGTTACCGGCTGACACTGCATTACTAATTGCCTGTCTCATTGAACCCTCTTCACAGACTCACTCCTGTACACACTATTCTTACCCTCAGTTTTGAAAAGGGAAATTGAAGTAAATACTTTAGAAAGTACATCTATTACTAGCACTTATACTGCAGTATAAAAAGCAAGAGAAAGTTAATTCTTGGACAAATGCTCTATTTTCATTTATTTGTGACCTTAGGACCCTTCATGAGGACACATAATTACAACACCATCAGTTGATACAGTTGGTATTTTTGCTAGATGCCATTGAGTCAATTTGAACTCACAGAGATGTACAACAGAGAAAACCCCCTGCCCTATCTGACATCAGTACTGTGTGCCAAATACTGTGCTAAGAGTTGGTATACGTGCTTGATTAAGAATGCAGACATTCTCATCTCCTCATTTCACAGATAAGCAAGTGAAGCCAGCATGGTAACTGCTTTTGCCTCACGACCCACGGTAAATGATAGGTACAGGGCTGAGTCTTCACCGTAGGTGTCTGGCTCCAAAGTATGTTTTGTACTCTCCTGGTCCACATTCTTGGTTGGTACAAAGACATGCTAATTTAACGGATTTATTTTTGCTAGGCCCTGTCAAGTCACTATGACTCAGTGACCCTCTGAACAACAGACGGGAACCTTGCCCTATCCTGGCCATCATCACAACGTCCTCCATGCTCAAGCCCATTGTGGTAGCCACTGTGACAATCCATCTCACTGAGGGTCTTCCTTTACCTTCACTAACCCTCCACCTTCCCAGCACGATGTCTTCTTCCAAGGACTGGCCCTTCCTGATAACATGCTCCAAGAATGGGAGAGATGGTGTTTCACCAGCCTGGCCTCTAAGAGGCGCCCTGTTGTACTTCCTCCAAGACAGACTTATTTGTTCTTTCGGCAGTCCACTGTATTCAATACTCTCCAGCAACAGCAAAGCTATTAACTGATCTGAGGAAAAGATTACTCAGGGTTTGGTATCTCTTGAAATTGAGGTATGATTTGTGTATGTAAATGTTAAGTGTATCACTCAATTTTTACCTATGCAACCACCACCCAGGATCAAGAATAAAGCACATTTCTAAAAGCCTATTCTCACCCTCTGTTGTTGTTGTCGTTGTTAGGTATCATAAAACCAATGCTGACTCATACAATTCTACGCACAACAGACTGGAACCCTGCCCAATCCCTAGGCTCTCCTCACACTTTCTGCTGTGCTCAAGGCCACTGTCGAAGTCACTTTCAATGCACCTTGAGGGTCTTCCTCTCCTTTGCTGACCCTCTAAGCATAATATCTTTTCCTAAAGACTGGCACCTCCAAATAATATGCCCAGAGTATGTGAGAGAAAGCCTCACCATCCTTAACTGTAAGGAGTCAAGGGTGATACTTTCTATCACCGTTGTCTGGCTGCAGTATACAGCCCTACATAGTCCTACTGTAGAATTCAAGCTAAATGCACTCTTTTGTCTCTTTTTTCCCTGCACAGCTCATGTGTCAGTAGTTTGTTATCTTTTACTATTGTATGGTATTCCATTGTGCACAAACAGTATTGGCATTTTTTACAAGTTTCCTGAATTGGAAAGCAGTGCCCTCAATGGCCATGACACCCCATCGCCATGTGGTTGGATAATCAGATAAGAAGCTTTGGGTCGCTTGTGGGAGTCCATGGGTGGTTCAAATAGCTAATGTGCTTGTCTACTAACTGGAAGGTTGGATGTTTGAGTTCACCCAGAAGTCCTTGGAAGAAAGCCCTCATGACCTAATTGTAATAGTTGGATAGGAAGCTTTTGGGTCTCTTGTGGGAGTCCACGGGTGGTACAAATAGCTAATGTGCTTGTCTGCTAACTGGAAGGTTGGATGTTTTATTTTACCCAGAAGACCTTGGAATAAAGCCCTCATGATCTAATTGCAAAACAGTTCTTGGAAATCCCATAGAGGGCAATTCTATTCTCATACACATGGGGTTCATCACACATCAGAGCTGACTCCACATCAATTAGTTCAGGTGGCTTTATATTTTAGCTCTCACTGTGTCTAAGAAGTCTCTTCAGCAATCTAGTTAAGTGGGTGGCCTAGGCTCAGGGAAGGACCCCTCAGTCACTGACCTGACCCTCATGCCCTGGAACATCTCGGTGCTGGTGTGGAAGGGCAGCACGGTGGTTGCACTGACACCTGGACAGTCCAGCAGCCCCAGAGTCAGGCTCTCCATGAAGGCGAAGGCCGAGGCTTTGGATGTGCAGTAGTCGATGGCACCGGGGATGGCGGAGAGCGCCAGCACGGAGTTGAGGCACACGATGTGGCCGTTCTGCAGCTCCAGCATGCGTGGCAGGAAGGCCTTGGTGGTCTAAGAGTGGAGGGGGAGGTCGGTAGGGAGCCACAGCTTCCAATAACCCATGTCCTCAGGGAGGACAGACCACCCTGGACACCAGAGCTCCTCCAGAGATTTTTACTTCCTTGGGGGTGGGAGGAGAGGCTTTCTGCTGCAGGAGCCTGAGCTCTGATTCAGAAGGTCACTCCACGTGCCTGGCCACCTTGTCCTTGGACATCTTTGCTCTGGAAAGCCTCTCCCTCCTCCCCCTTGCTCAGGCTCCCTGGAGGCATGTGGGGCCTGGTGGGACCAGGTCCCTGTCACGCCCAGGGCTGGCTCTGGCACAGGGTGTCCCTTACCCAGAACTGGCCCAGCGTGTTGATGTGCTGGGACTTGAGGAGGGCATCGTCATCACTGTCCATCAGGCTCTTCCCATGGACCACGGCAGCATTGTTCACCAGGATGGTGATGTCACCGACCTGGGGGGGGAGACAGAACCACGGGGTTGTTGGGACTCCAGTCCAGGGATGGGGACTGGCCCCGGGGCCTCAAGCCCACCTTGCTGTTCTGAGTGTTACTTCTGATTTGTAAGATGAGGTTGAAAACCATACCAGAGTGGTTCTGAGGGTGAGAAATACTTTATGGCATATCACAGGCCTGGCATTTGGACATTTACCTTAAGTGAGGTTACATGTAAACAGCAGGCACCAGGTGCTAGATACTTACAGGCTGGTTTTGGTTAAATAAGTAGCTAGAGTGAGGACAAGGTTTGTCCCAAAGGGCATTAGAACATTTGCTGCAGTGTCTAAAAAAGAGCCTCATACTATCTATCTACACCTCTAATGGAAGAACAGACAATCAGGGTAAATAATCAATCCGCACTCCTAATCCCTACACTCCAAGATCCATACAGTCAGCCAGGGTCTCTTCATGGAAGAGATCCCACACACACCTTGGACAAAGTATTCTTTGTTCCTTGCAAAACTCTCTCGAGCTACCTGAGAATGTTATCTTTGCCTGGCAGTGCCCATGATCAACTAAGCCACTCACCTTCTCCCGGACAGCTTTGGCCGTCTGGTATACCTCCTCCCGGTTGCCCACATCACAGATGAAGTAGTGGCACTCTGTGCCCATCTGCCGAATCTCCTCCGTTGTCTCCTTCAGGCATTTCTCTGTCCTGCCCCATAGAACAATCTAGAAGACAGCACCCAATAGGTGAGCATTAAGAAAGTCACTGTACTACAGTGATCATCAGCGGACTCCATATTTAAAGTCATTTCTCCGAAGACTAACCTCCCTGAGTCCATCCAAATATCAAACAGGCAAGACAAATGAGCAATACCATTTTCCAAAGGCTCGTAGCCCATTCTGAAGTGAACTAACAGTCCCATGTACGCTTCTAATCAGTCACTTTCCAAGTCTTTCTTATCATCCCTTCCAAGAGGATACCCACTGCCTGACAAACTCCAGTTATCACATGAGGTTGGAAATAACACAGCTCTGTACAATATCCCAGAGTCCTCTCATGTGTGAACCATCTGGCCTGCTCACTAATGACGTTCAGGGCCAGGTTCATTAACACCAGTCCATTAGTGTGGGCAAGAAAGATCTGACTGTAAAGTGCAGACACCCCACAGAGTACTGTATCTAGTTTCAGTCATACTTTAAATGAAGCCTCAAAGAGAGGCGTTCAGGCTCCAAGGAGAAAAGTACCACACTCTACAAAGCAGGTATAAACACAAGGCGCAATATGCCAAGAGAGGCTCTTATCAGGACCAGTTAAGGGATTTTTAAAGGGTTTGAGCACATTTGTGAATAGTTAGCTCATAAAAGGCTCAGAATAAAAGACTAATACCCTACATTGATCTAAAGGAAGATGGCACATCTTTCTTTGGTTTTGGAAAAGTCGAATTTGGCAATAGAACTCAGGGTTTGATGACTGGAGTCTCAAAATGTTCTTAGCCCAGAGCAGGGAATGCTGGGAGACGCTCACCAACTTTGCTCAGAAAGACAAAGTTACGGGAAGTGCTGAAAGGCTCCTGAGGGATGGGTCCAGTGAGTTTCTACTCCTCCCCCCTTTTTTGCGTTTTTTTTTTTCTTTTTTAAAAAAATAATGACTGAAATGTCTTATTTAAAACATAAAACCCAAGTGGAAAGCCCAATGAGGAGAGGCCAGGGAAAAATGAGGAAATATATATGTCCAACTCTGTAGTGGTTTCTTACTTGAAAAGCAAACAGTGAGAGCAAAAAGGCTATTTTGGGAATTTAAACATTTTAAATTGGGGGTTAGAGATGGTGGCTCAGATCACAAGAGCCAAAGAATCCACACGATTTCCGTATTTTGTTCTGTGACATTGTACAAGTCGTTGCTAGTGACAACAGTTCATCAATTGTTTATCTTGAAATCTCAGAACCTCCCTCCCTAAGCAGAAAGGGTACAAATCCATTTAGTTGGCTGGACACATGGATGTGCTGGCGGTTTCCACGGATTTTTAAGAAACAAAACATTAATTACAGCTTTTAGAACAGTTTGAAAATATTTTAAAAACAAAATGAAAATATAAATAACCCCTAAAACATATGTGTGAGAGCCCAGTCGTGAACGTCATTTCGTTGAACCACCTTATCTTCTTTTAATTGAAGTCTTAAAATACAGGAAGGATTTTTACGAGCAAAGATCCCATCAGTTGTTTTCCATGACCACAGAAGCCCATCAAGGGTAAAAGGACTAAAATTAGACAGCTTCCTGAGGAGACTAGCTTGTCTGTTGAAGCAGCAGCAGTCTTAGAATATGTTTCTCCTGGGAAAGATGGGATGATCCAGTTTATGGAGAAGTAGAAAAGCAAACACCTAATAATAAAAGGAAACTGAGTGTAAATAGCCACCCCCCTCCACAACAAACACCAGTCCACAATGCTTTGTCAGTTTGTTGTGCTGCAGTAACTTACTCTGGCTGTGATGCTGGAAGTTAATGCCACTGGTTTTTCAAATACCAGGAGAGTCATCAGTGATAGGCCGAGTTCAGAAGAGCTTACAGAATAAGACAGACCAGGAAGGAGGGTTTCTGAAAACCTGTGCACTTGAACGAACGTCTTAGGAAGGGTTGTGGGACGTTGTCTGATACAGTGCTCAGGATGAGTCCCTCAGAACCTGGCCCTACTCTAAAGCTGGGGGAATGGCATCCTCCACTTTGTATTCATAGCCCCCATCTCTCCTAGGGCACCGTGAGGTGTTTGCATGTCTGCCCATCATTTGGGGTTAAGAGTCCCCAGTGGCACCGAGTTTGACTCTGTCTCCTTCATTGTGTATTCAGGCTGGCATGTGCTGCTTGTTTACCGAATGAATGGACTTTCAGGACCTCAGGTGGGGCAGGTTGGTGGCGGTGGTTAAACACTTCTCTCTAAGGCTGACAGACGATCCCTCCCACCCTGACTGGAGCCATCTAGATAGAGTCCTAGAACTTTGGAAATGAGTGTAGTTGGTTGCTCCAAGCCTTCAAAACATCTGAGGGATGGAGCTTGGGGAAAGAGCCGGAAGGACAGCAGCAATGGGAATGGGGAAAGGCCTGCCCTGGAGGAGAGTTAGACTCAGGCTGGGGTCTAACAAGGTCACCTGTGAGTGTGCACCCCCGAGTGTCTGCCAGTGTGGGCTCCTCTGTGCAAATCTCTGAGTTCCACCTTTGTGACTCTGTACCTGTCCCTGAATGCATATGTCTGTGACTGTGCTTCCCTAGTGCACCTGCAGGTGTGTCTGTGAATGCACGAATGTCCTCAGATCCTCTGGTGGGTGCCATGAGCTCCCTGGACAGCAGCACTGGGCACAGCTGTCTTTAATAGCTGCCCTAGTAGTGGCAGAACTTGGCAGTCGCAGTCAGGAGATCAGGAGACAACGTTGCATTGGGCAAGTCCACTGTCAGGTGATGTCAGTTTGAAGACTAAAGTGTGCCTGGTTCAGATCACCATTTTTTCAGTCACTTGCTATGTGTCTGAGTGCTGGACAATGAGTCAGGAAGAACTGATACTTTTGAGTTATGGGTGCATTGAATATCCCATGGGCTGCCAAAAGAGCAAACAGATATGTCCTGGGAAAAGTGCAGCCAGAGTGTGCCTTGAAGTCAGGGATGGTGTAGCTTTGACTCACTGTGGGCATGTTGCTAGGAGAGGCTATTTGTTGGAAAGGGAAGGAGAGGGAGATCCTAACAAGATGGACTGACATGGTGACGCAGCAATGGGCTCAAGTGTATCAGAGATGGTACGGATGGCACAGGATAGGATAGGACTCAGACCTGTTGTCCACAGGGTTGCTATGAATCCTATTCTACGCAATGGGATCTAACAACAATCACCAGTGGCCTCTTGCTGGTGACTGGTGGCCAGGGTTGGGCCTGACTGCCTCCCTACTTGGCCATCTCAGGCCAGACCTGGTGCTCTGCCTGAGAAAGCGAGCTGGAAGAGGACAGGGCACTGGTGTCCAGCAGGAGTTTCTCCAAACACTGTGCCTTCCGGACTTCTCCCAGCCCTACACCCCATCCCAGACCCTTCTGGGGAACTCTGAAGTCACTGCCCAGCAAGCTCTTACCCAGAGTGACTGGGGGTGACCTCTGACAGCTTACAGAACAGGAATCCAGCCCAGGCCAGGATGAAGGTGAGGACCATGCAGGCTCGAGGCCAGGGGGTCTGAGGTCGGGGAGGCCTGGGGAGAGGGGGAGATTTACAGCCTCACAAGCTAATACAGCTTCTGCTTAATTAACTCCCAGGACAGGGAGCAGCTGGGAAGGGTCAGGGCACAGGGATTTACTCCTGGACTGGGTTTACACAGGAAGGGCTGCACTGGTGGCCCTGGCCTGCCTATAAGAGGAAGAGGAAAGGGTAGAGGTACCTCCTCGTCCAGGTACCCACACCTGCCCGTGGGCCCCTGCTCAACCCCAGCTCCCCCCTGCCAAAGGCCCTCCTTTTCTCTAGATCCGCCTGGCAGCAGCACCGCCAGCCTAAATCCCCTGGCAGCCATAAACGTTCAGGATTATTATGATCCACACTTTAGAGCAGAGGAAACTGTGGCTCAAAAGGATTAAGGACCTTGTCCAAGGCCACACTCACTAAGGGTGGTGGAAGCAGATTTTGAACCCAGAGATTGACTTTTCTCACTCTGCTATGTCTCCTGGAGATACACCCCTGCACCCCTAGTCTAGTGGGATCCCCAAATTCTATGTCCCCTTGCACTCAGCTCCATCTCCACCCAGCCAGCCCTTCTTATACTTTACTTCAGCATCTGCAACAACCCCTTCTCGAAACAGGCCATAGTGCACAGCAGGTCTGCTCCAGGCTGGGGGCCATGCCCAGTGCACGGTCACCAATGGACAGCAGATCAGAATTGGCCCCTGCCTTGGCAATCTGCTTCCGAAAAATTAGCCACCAGGCCCCGTGGAGCATGGTTCCAGTCTGACAGACGTGGGGTTGCCAAGCATGAGTGAAGACTCAAAGGTAACTTGTTTAACTCAACACTGTGATTCTGGGAGGCGTCATCGTGTGTGATGTGACAATTTGTATCTTTGCCCCATTAGCTGTAAACTCAGGCACTAGGTCTTTGTTGAGAGAGTAAGGGAGCTGGAAAGTCACTGGGGCTCCAGAGGTCCTGTTTACTTAGTTGCTGTGGATAATACACTCACTCACTGCAGAGTTCATTCTGCCCCATGCTTGATGGGCCATTTGGAATCTGTATCCTGTCTTTCCGAGGTCAGGGTCTACCTCTCACCCATCCTGGGTTTCCTGTGATGCTACCTAATGCCTAGCACAGGTCATCTTCTGTTTGCATCTCCTCCCTGTTTTAAAGCACATTAATTTCCTTGACAAATGTTTGTTGTTGTGTCCCTTCAAGTCAGAACCGACTCATGGCTGACCAGGTATTCAGAGGCAGCTTATCCCACAGGAAGAGACTGCCTATCTTTCTCAGGTGGAAGAGCTGGTGGATTTGAATCACATGCCTTCAGGAAAGCTTCTTACCACTAGGCCACCAGAGTGGCCTGTTTTAATGCTATATCTATTCATGGACTTCTATTCATGCTGCAGGACCCTGCTTGGTTGGCCCATCAGCTCGGAAGCTTCCCTGGTTGCTCCCTCCCTCTAACAACAACAACAACAACAACACAGGCATTCCTCAGAGACACAGGTGGCTTAGTTCCAGACCACTGTGAAAAT